CTACTACATGTAAAACAACACGATAGCTAGTAGTGATAGTACATACTTCCTCTTCTACATGTAGAACAACACGATAGCTAGTAGTGGTAGTGCAGACGTCCTCTACTACATGTAGAACAACATGATAGCTAGTAGTGGTAGTACATACTTCCTCTACTACATGTAGAACAACAAGATAGCTAGTAGTAGTAGTACATACTTCCTCTACTACATGTAGAACAACACGATAGCTAGTAGTGGTAGTACATACTTCCTCCACTACATGTAGAACAACACGATAGCTAGTAGTGATAGTACATACTTCCTCTACTTCATGTAGAACAACATGATAGCTAGTAGGTTAAGTAACAACAGAAGTCTTCTCCTTACCGACACTCTTATACGACTATCGCTAGGCTTCTTCCGCTTACCCCTTTTACTGATATTTTAATATATATATATATATAGTAGATAATAAATAAATAAGTCCTTGCGAAGGAAAATATAGAATAAAAACATAAATTTTTCAGATCGTCCGCTAGGCTTTTCTGCCTTCTAGGGCTTATATATATATAAAGCATTGTGCTGAATTGTCAATTATGACATACATACTGTAAGATCTTATATGAGTTTCCATTTCATATAATATTTGTGAAACGAGTCTAAGAATTGTTCATTTAAGGGGAGCTAAAATGAAAACTTTGTGACGAGTTTCATAAATTTCATATGAATGGAAAACGGGTGTAAGATCCTTTTTATCACATAATCAAGATTTGTGGTATTTATCCGTGTAAAACGACAATTTTCCTGCAACCTTGAAATGTAAAAAGTGCGGTAGTCTGTGACGTCATATTCTTGTCCTTGGTGTCACGTCACAATTGAAACAATTGAAACTTACAACCAATCACGGGGCTAATAGGTCATATTACGTGGGTTTATACGCAAAAAGATATGACATGGGTATATTCACTGAATAACACAGTACAATATGTGATAAATATAATTTCAAAGGCTTAGAACTTTTAAAATTTCCCTTATTTTTATAAAATAATTTATTTGTGAAAATTAACAAAAAAAAGTCGCACCAGTCACATGACTAACCATAAAACAGACATTTCAAAATCAATACAACAATGTATTGTACCTGGCAGTATAAGGGAAAGGAACAGATCTTTTGTGGTCCACTTCATATTATCGTAAGTCATTAAGCGACCAATGTTATGCTCCCTGGAGAATAGGGTGTGTTCTCCTGTGTCTTCTGTTTAAGGGGTGGCTGAAGCAAAATTTATCAGCAATGTCATTGCATCATTTAGAGCGTTTATCCTTTTTTCTCTCTCTCTTTCTACTCTTTATTTTCCACTGTATCCTAAATACACATTCGTCTTCATACAGCCTGATCTTTTGTTATGACGTTAAACAGGAACAAAAAGAACGAAATTATATGTGATAATAATCACGTTCCCAAAATAACAAATATGAATTATATTTTTATTTGGTATTTTGACATTTTCAACTCTTTACTTTAAGCGAACAAATCATATTTGGATTGATGAATAGTGTTGAAATGTGTTCTTGATAAGAAAAGAAATCTAAATGTGTTTCATTTGTAACAGACTTGTCATGTATTGAAATTTATTGGCAAGCCTAAATGATTGTCGACAAGTTTTCCAGAAAATTAAAATAAAATAGACCCATATTTTCTCCACAAAAATAGTTTGATAATGCATTCCAAGTAAAAATGATAATTATTCTCTGCATGGTATATTTCATTAGTAGGAAGAACACGATGTTTTGAAGTGATTCAATTAAATAAATCTATCCCCTAGTGTGTCCTCTTACAGACACGAAAAAGATGTATTCAGTTTGCTACAGACTTTGACACGCGTTCGATTACTTTATGAGCAATTCGACGGAACTAAACAATTTTCAACTATTTTCCGTTCCATCTTGTCACCCGCATCCCTATATTTCTAAGGTTTCCCCAATGATTGTAAACGGAAATTTTAATTTTCAAACTATTTTTTAATTTTCTGATTGTCCTTTCAGAATGATTATGTTTAAATTGTTAACAATCAAGCCTGTTTGTTATTTCTATACATTTTCAGATCATATTGGATTGTCTCCCTTATGTGCAGTCCTGCCTGAATCCTATAATTTATGGCTTTATGTCTCGGAACTTCCGGCGGAGTATGATGGCCGCCTGTCGACGACACTATTGTCTGTGTCGTTTTTCAAAGTGTTTTACAATGAAGAAAGTAATATTTACGGACTATGAGTTGGACTCGAAAGCGAGCAACGGCACATCTCATACGAGGCTTACTGTTCACAACGCAGCCCTGGATGATTACCACTGTGCTACACCAAGGGGGAATAGCTGTGTTTCATAAAATGTATTGGTAAATTTTATCCACACCTCTCTAATTAAACCTGATCCGCTTGTCATTCATAACACCATGAACTCATTTGTTCATATGTAAAAGCTATAGTCCATTCACACAGGATGTTCTCAACTAAACTTAGAAGTGAATGCAATTGCATTTTTAGGACTGTCTTCACAATAAAAAAGCATTAAGAGAATGAGCGTAAACAACTTGTATGTATATGACATGACTCCTATTTACATATTGTTGTATTCATAATGAAAAAAAAAAGATACGTTGACTCCTGCCATAAACGTCGTTGTATGCCATTAACTGATTTGAACTATGCTTAAATTTTCAAGGGCAAGACTGCTGATAATGGGTAATTAATGGTTGTATAATGATGGATGATAAATAATCCAATATACTCTCACTTATCAGGGATTAAGTTCGCCTTAGTGTATATATTCCTTCACTTATATTTATCATAGCGATTATATTACTGCAAATTCAAATGGATTTTACTTTATACTAATGCATGTAAGAGAGATGGAAATAGCATACATCAAATGTATTTAGACATAATAAGCAAACATTTAGTTTCGCTGTCTCCCCTATATATACGTTTTCGCATGGATTTTTTTATCTTCATTTAATAGATTAAATACACCTACATTTATATGTGCAATTGATGACTCGGAATGAACTTATCTTTCCGGAACACCTGGTCTTAACTTCCTTGTACTTGTTCCAGGATTTTTCCATGTAAAGTTTTCCTTTATTAATATTTTACCTTAGTTTTGTTTAATGGATTTTGAGTCGACACTTTTTGTTGATACTTCTTGAAATGTTGTTGAAATGTGGATGGTATTCCAATTCGGTCAAAGATTGTTCCTATTTCGGATTGAAGAGAGTATTCCTTTTCATCAAATACCCATGCTTGTTATTATACTTCAACAAACACTGGTCTTTTTATATTGTCCTCAAGTTCGTGGTTTCGCTTCTTTGGAGGATTTTGAATTAAAAATACTTGATGAAATTAAGAAAGAATTTTCCTTTTATTTGTTTTTTTATTTGAAGTAATAATATTCACGTCAATGGTTACAATTCATCTAATTAAAGTCTTTATTCTAGATAACATACCGTATACTGTTCGCTTTATATTCATGAAGCTTTGAAACATATTTTATTACATTAACTCTAAGTAAAGGTAATCAAATATGTACTTAAAAAAACCGGATGTTTATATTTCCTTCACATATGCTGTTTTTTAATATTATCAGGGGCGTCTCTGAAGTAGGTTGTTTTCCTTGTAACAACAGCTGATACTTTCTATAACTTATGAGACACGCTCAGGAAGTGCCAAGTAAAGTGGTTGATTAAAACAGCTTGAAGGTTATGGTACTTAAAATTTATGTTTTCGTCAGGGATTGACGTTGTCTCCATTGCGCCTTTCTGAAGTGTATATTATCTATCGTTAGATCTTTCTTTATTGAGGTCGACTACGTTACAGATTAATTAAGATTATGCTATCAACCTTCCGCTGTATCTAAGGTGAGGTCACCTTTTTAACGGCTTACTACAGTATACTACGTGCAATCTTATTAAAATTACTCCCGAAAGAGATTTCTTCGTGATGAAAAATTGTTTAATTATTATACACAAACAACCAAAGACGTATTTGACGAAAGATGTTAATTGAACATTAGATTTGACCACGAGAAGCTCTAAATATTTAAGTACCCTTCCCCGTCAACCACCCTGTCAAGTGTCCCAATATCTCTCCTAAGAAGCAATGCATTTCTTATATTATTTAAATCTTATTAAAGATGCAATGATAACCTTATACAACTATTTTGTAAACATCTGTTAAAGGTAAATGGTACCACTGCATCAGTTTTACTCGAGAAGAAGAGTTCCTTAAGAGTTTTTTCTGCTTTGAGCGTTCCCCATTCTATATAGATGATAAAACAACCTTAATGAGGTTCTTTCTTGTTTAGAGTTTATTCTTCTACAGTGTATCAATATTTGCGCATTTGTTGTCCCCTATAAGTAATTAAACACTCATTTTGCTGTTATGTTGTCCTGTGTGAGTAAATAGGTAAATTGTAGGCTTTATTATTTAAAGGTTCCCTGTTCGATACAAGCAATTTTCTTTGTTTTCCCTTTTTATGTTTTTATTCTCAAACATTCAGATTTCGAACAACCACAATCTTGTCAAGTGGCATAGCAAGCGTCTTAAACGAATAGTTGACAATAGTGACATTGGTAGTAATTCAGTTTAGCTCATTTGTACCATTTACCTTAATAGTTGTTGCAAAGAACTTCAAACAAACAGAACATATGTATTGAAAACCTTATAAACAGTTTGTACTAAAAAAACTGTCCAATAAATATTCGAAAAAGTTGAAACCTCACCTTCAAATGAATGAATTTCGTCTTTAAATGTAATCATCATCGAGACGATAATTGTTTGACATTTCCTTCTAATTTTCTCCCAAAGTAGGGATAACAGGATAGGTTATTTGTTTGATACTTTTCAGTACTTGTGTCCTTGATGAACACTACAATGTGCACTTTAAAACATATAATGAAACATGATTGACAAAATAATGACGATCATAAAATTTTAATTTCGTCATGATGAAATCTAGTTTCTCCCACAACCACTCTAGTTTTCCTCACTCCCGACTAAATGGATAAACCTAGGGTACTCCTCCAGTTTGTCACCAATGCCTAAACCCTACTCGTCCTTAAGTGACAATAGCGGTTTGTAGGAAGTAAAGCACAAACAACTCATACAAAACATTAAGTAGCAACAACGTTAATTGAAACACGTGTCGTGTACTGATTTCATCAATTATGTTGATCGTACCTTCGGAAGCCAATTAGCAAGCAAAACTTGTGGGAGAAACTATCATGGGAGTCTTCTTAAAAATGTTCTGAACAACAGATAAAGCAAATTTTTAAAATAAAAAATAACACCAGGAAGAACATCGTCATTTTCAAATATCACTCGAGAAGATTTAACTTTTAATTTCGTTAGTTTATGGATTATTTCTCGAATAATTGGCAATTTTAATCGTGTGTTAATGTCAGAAACAGATACTGTAATGGTCACACTGGGACATTCTTGTGTATTATCTTTAGATGTTAGTCCCCCGCTGAGAATTTTAGAAGTGTATGCGCATTTAACTGACGATTTCAAAATCGATATCCTTATGTATCTAGGTAAAACAAGCTTAAAGGGTATATCAGCATGCGTATCCAATTTCTTGTTTTGACAAGAAGCTTAACAAAGCGTTACCCAGAGCAAATTATTGCTATATAGTATGTCGTGTTATACACTTACACATTGCTTGTCAGAAAATTAATTGCTGAAAGGAAAGGAAAAAGCAATAGAATTATTTGTCATTAAACGATACATGAGGCAAATGCCAAGAACAGATAATATTGCACATCAACATAATGTGCGACAGAAGGCTTACATTACAAACAAGAGGAAACGTATGACAGATGCAGCAATTGGACTGTGAGGTAACCATTCGGAATGAATATACGGATATAGGAATGAAATTGTATAAATGGCACAGACTTTGCCATCAATACCCTTAATCAAGGCCATTTATAAAATATTAAAACACTGCTCATGGCTGTTCTGTTTCAATTTTGCAGCGTCAGCAATATATTGACATAATACCAAAATGTAAAGAAAACCTTCATTCGAACTGAAATCGATCAAAGTTGTCCTTTTCTTCCATTTTATCAGATATAAGCTCATTTATTAGCAACTATTGAAATACAATACATTTAGATTTTAAATATATGACACAAAGCAGTAGTGGAACCTTCAGATACATAAAATGAATATAAAGATGGCCAAGTCAATTGTAACGTCAGCTTATCATACATTGGAAAATAATATGTAACCAATGAAAACAAATATGTTGTACCAGAAACTTTACCAATTATCAGGCAATGTACTTGTGGCCCAAAGAAACCTTAATTTGATCAGATGCATGGACTTATTTATCTAAAAGTTGAATCATTCAAACAGTGATGACTATTATATATACACGTCATAAGCAGCAAATAGGTGTTCGGGAAGTTCATTGTCTCTAATTGCCTTTCACAACTGCGCAAACACTATATCAGCGTCCGATCGCAGTGAAACGTGCCAAAAACGACAAAATACGTTTCAGAGTCTATAAAACATTTCTAGGGTGCTAACGGTGGTCAATTATCGCTGGTCATTTGTACAGTTTGTATAGTTGTTAAGAATGTCATTGCTTAGTAAATGTGTAATTAGGTCTCAACCGTTATCCTGCCTGTACAAGGCCTTAGAGGCGGAGACAGTGACCACTAGTTAGAAAACGTTGTCCGTACCTGCTGTCTGCGAGTCAGTTACAATGTGATTTACAAATGTGTCAGGTTACATCCCTATTATTCGCTAAACATGTCTGAAATACCTATAAAATCATCTTTTACGGAAACAATGCATAAAAGTTCCGATATATTCCAAATTAAAATAACATATTTCACTCCTGTGTCAAAATGGAATCAGAATATGTGCGACTAAATGTATCTTTATAAACACAAACAATGGATAGCAAAAACAATATTTTTCTTTTGAAAATCAAACATAATTTCACTCTAACTTTCAACATTTTCAAATATTCTGCTATTGTCACTTATGCTTCGCACTCGTAAAATAGACATGAGGGCATTTTACGGTATTTTTAGATATCCTTTATATATTTGGTAATTTGAAGAACAAAATTAAAACAATTAAGATGTCCAAAACCTAACCAATTTTACAATCTTTATGAAAATGAAAAAGATGAAGGAATTGAATAATTTTTAGGGTTATTGAAATGTTTGTATAGGACGTTGTGATATATACACCAGTATTCTAGCGGATATGTATGCCTAGGTTAGTGCGCTATCCGAAGCAAGGTCAATGTTCAGCTTAACTTGAAATTACCTCTGGATTAAATATTGTAATATCGTCTATATTTAGCTAAAGATGAGATGTGATATTCATTTTAACTTACACAATGTTTGTATTGCCAAAATGTTCTGTGTTACTCCTGTATATCATTTATGGCATATATTTGAATAGACGCTTAAAAATATCCTCATCAATCTGTGTTTTTTGTCATTTTCTGCAATGCATAACTGTGAAAGATGATATATGAGCCGAGATATCAAAATTCTCTGTACGAATTTGACGAGTTCTCGGGAACAATT